AAAGCTTTTTGGAAACATTTTCGAGCACGCTTCTTGTCTCTCCCGTAGTCGGCATAATATATGCCAAGTATTGTGTAGGCAGGCGCATAGTTCAAGTCTGCTTGCAGCGAAGCAAGAAACCGAGCGTATGCCCCTTCACGATTTTTGCGCGCCTTGCTAGAAGTTTCCCGGTTCCAGATGCACATACCCATCCGATACAGCGTTTGAGATCGTAGCAATTTTGCTCGTGTGTCAGAACCTTCCATATCTGGAAGGCAATCCTCGAGCTCATGCAGGCTCGTCTCGCTGTCGCCATTCAGGGCTTTGCACCAGGCCGCCTCGGCTTTTATCTTAGGTTCAGAATTTCGCTTCAAAGCACGGTCGAAAAATTCAATGGCTTTGACGTACTCCTCCTGTTCTTCGAGTATCAACCCGATCCCGATCAGTGCAGAACTCTCGGTAGGTTTGCGGTGGAGTACCTTCTCAAACAGCTCCATTGCTTCTGGGTGATGCCGCGGCGGCTGAAATTGGACCAATGCTGTGGCCAGAATAGTTCTTATTGCATCGAACAAATTTCCTAGGGCAAGGCCAGACATGCCAGATTCATTCAAAATACACTGCAGCCCTTGTCTTGCTGTGGCCGCAGCGCTCTCATATTCTTCGAGATGTAAGTACATGAGCCCCATAATACGGCGTGCTAGGATTGACGATGAGCTCTCTTCCATGCCTTCAGTCATGAGGATGAGCCTGTTCTCTCCGGACAATGGAGAACTGTGTTCACTCTCCTCGTTCTGCTCTTGGGCGGGACCTGTCAATTTCGGAAACGGAGAAATGTCGCTATCGAAGAAGCCTCTCAATAGCTTGCTTAGCCCGCTATCTGGAAACAGTGCAATAAACTCTCTGAGTAATCCAGCATCCATCTCCTCAATGTATGTGGCATCTCTCCACTCCAGATCGATTGTCCAGGCAAGCAGGAATTGGTGCTTCAGGATAACCAACCCTTGCGCCATCTTCTGGACTTGCTTCCTTTTCGCTTCCTTCTTCGCCGTCGGTAGGGCGATGAGGGTATCGTATGCATGCTGGAGGAGTTTCTCCTCGCATTGACGTCGGATCTTGTCATCGTGGGTCCAGTCGATAATACTTTCGTACAGAGACTCCAGCAGACTGTTCTCCAACACCTCTCTCTTAACCTCTGAAGTGACTTGGTCGATCTTAGCTCCAAGACGAGTCCGCCGTTGCCCAATTTCAGTGTTGATCTTCTCCTTTTCTTCCGCTTCTACTATATCTGCGATATTGGAATATGTGAAAGCTGGTTGGGGAATTCGACCTTCGAGGTAGTCATACAGAGTAGTGGTGGGCAGTAGAACCTCCAAAGAATGTTTGTATTGTGCCCTAGAACCGTACTTTTTGGCATTTTCTGTGTACTTTTGCACGACTGTTTGACACCGTATCTTGTCATTCCTAATACCGCAACTTCATCAGCCACAACATCCCGTCACTCAACGTACAAAATCTTGCCCCACATACTCGTTCATGTGTATCTCCGCTAATCGAGTCGCAGCATCGTGATATCTGTCAAGCTTCTTGCCAGCTTGCTTGTCGTAAAGACCCACTAGCCCTTGCCACGCTAAAGCATCTTTGGCTTTTAATCCAATGGCAATTTTGTAAGCTTCTTCGGAATCTTCGTTCTGATCCAGCTTTTCGAGCGCTCGGCCTAGGAATACATTGCTAGAGACGGCAGAGTCAGTCTCACCACTGATAAAATAGGCACAATAAGTAGGAATGTATACGCATGGTAGTTATTTGAATCCGTCCTCAGCACCGTCTTGGCTTGATCAATTGCATCCTGATACTTGTTCGCATCCAAAGCAGCTTTTGCAGCTTTGAGAGCTGCTTTTGTACCCGACATGCTGTAAGAGTACGGTCACTTTGGTGTCTGCATCAGATGGCATGACTGCCAAGGACATCAATCTGTAGATGATAATCTATGGCTGTGACTGACCACTGACAAAGCTCCAAGATATTAGAACGCAAAGGTTTGTTTGCTCGACAGCTCTTTTCGGCACGGGAGATCTGCAGCCGGGGGTGTTGAGAGCGTACTTGTATGTATGTATGCGTCATTTGTCGCTCATCTGCCATCATCAACTTTTCCTTTTCGAATTCCGGACAGTAGACTCGCTTATAGGAGGGGAGTTCGATGCATCAACAGTAGAACTGGGTTCTGTGCTTGTGTTGTTGCAAACTTCAAGTCAAATGGGACGACGAGTCAGCACTCAAACGCTCCCACTCACGCTTCCCTGTCTCTAGGGTCTCCTCGGCCTCCTCGGCCACTGCAATTGTTCATGGCGCCCCTACGACTTAGGATAGAGGGGCGAACGTTTCGCGACAGTGAGAACAGAGAGGTTACGCTGCGTGGTATCAATGTAGCTGGAGACGCCAAGTTCCCAAGGAACCCTGATTTACCCTCGAACAATCCCGACAGGTTCTATGAAGGAGACGAAGTATCCTTTGTTGGCAGACCGTTTTCCATCGACGAGGCACATACTCATTTCTCACGACTGAAAAGATGGGGTTACAATTTAATTCGTTACGTATTCACTTGGGAAGCCATTGAGCATGCCGGACCCGGGAAATATGACGAGGAGTGGGTGCAGCATACCATTGAGGTTTTGAGACTGGCAAAGGGATACGGCTTCTACATATTCATGGATCCTCATCAAGATGTCTGGTCACGATTCACTGGTGGTTCTGGTGCACCCATCTGGACAATATACGCAATGGGACTCAATCCGCGGGCATTTCCTTCGACCCAAGCAGCTTGGGTACAAAATACCTACTCTGATCCTGCCAAATACCCGAAAATGATATGGGCAACAAATTATACGCGGTTGGCGTGTCAAGTCATCTTCACCATGTTCTTTGGAGGAAAAGACTTTACCCCCAAGGCCATCATCGATGGGAAAAACATCCAAGACTACTTGCAGGATCACTTTGTCGAAGCGTGTCGTCACCTTGCTCTGAGAATACAGGAAGCAGGAGATATCGAGAACGATGTGGTTATTGGTTGGGAGAGTATGAACGAGCCGAATCGAGGTCTCATTGGCTGGCAGGACGTTTCGGTCATCCCCGAAGACCAGAAATTACAAAAAGGGCCTTCGCCGACTGCATGGCAAGCAATGTTGACTGGTTCTGGTAGAGCATGCGAAATGGATGTTTGGGACTTTGGTGGTTTGGGACCGTACAAATCCGGCACTGAATTAGTGGACCCCAAAGGAGAATCGGCTTGGCTATCAGCAGACTATGATGACTCAAGGTACGGTTGGAAGAGGGATCCAGGGTGGAAATTGGGAGAATGTATCTGGGCACAGCATGGGATTTGGGACCCATTAAACGATCAATTGCTGAAGAAAGATTACTTCGCAAGGCAGCCGAAGAGCGGCAGGAAAATCGACTATGAATTTTTCACAAACAACTACTTCATGTCATACTATCGAAGACACCGGAAAGCCATCACAAGCGTACATGAAAATGCTATAATGTTCTGTCAACCACCCGTCCTCGAGATACCCCCTTCAATCAAAGGCACAGATGACGACGACCTAAACATGGTCTTTGCTCCTCATTTCTACGACGGCATTACTCTGATGATGAAGAAATGGTGAGTGCAAGCGGTCTCAATCGAACAGACCTAGCTGATTTATATTGGCAGGAATCGATACTGGAATGTCGATGTTTTCGGAATCCTGCGAGGAAAATATCTGTCACCAGCATTTGCTGTCAAAGTAGGCGAGACAGCAATAAGGAATTGCTTCAGAGATCAGCTCTCTGGCATCAGGAAAGAAGGAATGGAATATATGGGAAACCATCCTTGCATCTTCACGGAAATTGGTATACCGTATGACATGGACAATAAGTACGCTTACAAAACCGGTGACTACTCGAGTCAGTCATCCGCCATGGATGCAAATCATTTCGCACTAGAAGGTTGCGGCTGCAATGGCTATGCTTTATGGCTATACATGGCTACGGTAAGCTGAAATCTTGTAGTAAGCCTCACACAATGGCTGACGACACCAGAATAACCACGAATGGGGCGACCTTTGGAATGGCGAAGACCTTTCCATTTTCTCACTCGACGACAAACCTCTACCTCTCCATCCCGAACCCAATTCGGAAGTACCAGGTCCGACCCCCAACGCTTCTACTGTCTCTGTTGACAGGAATTCGCCTGCCTTTTCCGAAAGCCGCTCGACTGATGCATCCCCTGTCATTCCAGAAACCCTGAAGAACAAGCTCTCAACCCCTTCCATCTCGTCACAGAAATCAAACACACCATCAGAAATTGGTAGTACGCCCGGCTTCCGTGCTGCCGAGGCATACGTGCGCCCTAGTCCAATAGCTACTGTCGGAAATGTCACCTCCTCTGGCTTTGATCTGCGTAACGCAACATTCACCTTCTCGCTTGAATGCAAGACAGCTGCTACGGAAGAAGTACCCACAGAAGTCTTCCTACCCGAATTTCATTTCCCTCGTGACAACACCACAGTTGAAGTTACTAGCGGCAAATGGACGATCAGTGTCGACGAGAAGTACGGTGGTCTGATCCAAAGTCTGAGATGGTACCATGGTGTGGGTAAGCAGAGCGTGACTGTCAAAGGGGTGAGAAGACGGCAGGGTATGGCATTGAGGAAGGAGGAAGAAGAAGGTTATTATGAGCAATGCAGGCAGAGAGGCTGTAGCATGATGTGAACATCTTTCTTGTGGATCCAGCGATCAATGACACGCGAGCATTGTACCAATCTACTCAGCGGGGCTGCATTCTTTGTTTGACTCAAATTATTAGTATTCAGCAAGACCTGAGGTCACGAATCCTATGTCGATGCGTTCGGAGGTGAATTAGCCCCAGACTTGTGCATCCAGGGCTCAATCGGCTTCATAGATCCCAGGTATTTCCATAGCTTCAAGGGCTCATGCCCAAACATTGTGCATTCTATGACATTTGTTTCCGCAAAAAATCAGTCTCAGGACGTAGAGACCATGATCGATTCGACTTGTGAGATAGTAAACCCTTTAAATCGTAAATCGTACAATTCCGTAGAGTAGCCTGTGTTCGATTCCATTTCCGGAGACTTTGAGTCACACTCCGTTATTTTAACCTGAGGCCTGTCCGACCCTCATCCTCAACGCAGTCGCTTAGATCATTACCATTACCATCACCAATACTCCTCACGTCAATCAATCTTCTCAAACCCAGAATCCTTTCTTTCCCTTGCCAGCATCCTCGACCCCATCTCCTACGCTCTTGGCCCCTCCCTCCACGCCATTCCCTACAGCCTCCAGCGCGTCTCCGACCGGTTTTCCCGCGCTTCCTGTTACACCGGTAACTGTTTGCCCGACGCCTCGGCCTGCGGCACCGACGATGCCTCCAGCTGTCTTGGCCACTCCAGAGACTCCGTTTCCCAAGGTCGAGGTGACGAAGCCAATTGGGTTGTTGGTGTCGTTTGAGGTAGGCATTCCGTTTGGACTTGCTCCGCGCGTGATAGTACTATAGCTGAACGATTGCTGATGTGAATGATATCTGTGGCTCTTAAGTGGTCGAAATGGTCGTTATCACTAGCCTGCTACCGTGGAATGGAAAGAAAAGAAAGAGCGGGGTCTGTTGCCTAGGGTACAGCTGCCGTGCTCGGCTAGCCTCGGATATAGGAATCATTCCGCTGGTCTTGGCATCAACGTGGATGGGCCGAAGGCCGTTAACAGACTTCGGGCAGAATTGTGCTCAACGCTAGAGCAGCTCAGTATTATTAATTCAATCGACATGCCTCATATTTTCTCCTTTGTTTCGCCTGTTCGAGGGTGTTCTGACCGTGAAAAGGACATTTGGCTGATAGAGCTAGGGAAAGGGTGAGAGGAAGATTCGTTGCACCTGGCCATTTTAATCTCGTTCATTGATCTTTGGATGTCTTGTCTTGCTTAATCCTGTCATGCTATTAGATCTTGCCTCTTTCTATTGGCTGCACTATTCCTTCGCTCTTTGCAATGCCGTCAATCGGTGAAGAGAAAGGCTCCACCAAGTCCATTCGCTCAAGTTCTCCATCAAGCCATTCGACAGAGCGGCCTGTCTCCGTGCATGACCATGAAGATCAAGAGAAGGTCGTGGCATTAGGGTCCTTGCCATTGTCTCCGAGACCCAGCTTTTCCAACAAGGCTGCCTCGATAGCCACTAATGGCACGAACAACCCAGATTATGAGGTAGATTGGGATGACGAAATTGATCCCAAGAATCCAAGGAACTGGTCAATTTGGTACAAGGGTTTCACTATATTCTCGATCTCATGGTCCGTACGTTATAACTTTCCCAAGGCAGTTCTACCTCATTCATACTGTCTTATGGGTCGTCAGACACGTCTCGAGAGTTCTCTGCTCGTAAGACATGTCTCGCGACTCAGAGTTCCTCCTGAAAGAGTAATGCTGACTCCGAAATCATCAAGACATGGTGCATCGTTGTGTATTCCACATCCTACACTACGGGCTTGGCAGAGATGCAACACGATTTCCACATTTCTTCTGAGCCTGTTGTAACTTTAGGAGTGACTTCCTACCGTGAGTTGGGGAGAGCAATTGCGAGTCCCAATGGTGAGAGCTGACTATGCGACTAGTGATTGGCATTGCTGTAGGGTCTATGATCCTCGCACCGATTTCCGAAATGTATGGACGTCGACCAGTATATATAGCTAGCATGCTAGTTTTCACCATACTAATCATACCATGCGGACTCGCGACCTCTTTGCCAGAAGTCATCACTGTACGTTTCTTTGGGGCCGTGGCGGGGTCTGCCATGATCGCCAACAGCCCGGGTACCGTTAGTGACATCGTCAACGATGACTATCGAGCATTGGCTTTTTCAATCTGGTCAATAGGTCCACTCAACGGACCAACCTTTGGTCCTATAATTGGAGGGTTTTCTACGCAGTACAGCAAACCTCATTGCTTACAAGAAAGCTAGAGAATCTTCTGACAAGTGCACAGGTATCTTGGCTGGAGATGGACCAATTGGATTGTTATGATCATTTCTGGAGTTGCCTTCATCTTCATGTGTATGCTGAAGGAGACTTACGCGCCGGCCCTACTACAGAAGAAGGCTAAGCTTCGCCGAAAGGAGCAGGATGATGACCGGTACTGGTCTCGCTATGATAACAAGATCAAGTTTTGGCCGCTCTTGAAAGTCAACCTCAGCCGGCCATTTATTATGGTGTTTACAGAGCCTGTAAGAACCCTTTTGAAGTAATTGTCTCCCCTTCTATTCTTTCTTTTGAGTCTCAGCATATGCTGCAGAAGCAAAAGCCAATTTTTCCATTTCAAGGCTCCTCCGACTTGTCCTGTAACTTTAAACACGTCTTGAAGTGGCAATGCTGACTCGAACTGATGTAGATCTGGTCCGCCTCCCCTCAATGCTTCACATTTGAGGGACTGAATCTGACAGATCCGCAGCATATTTTGGGATGTATACATAGCGATCATCTACGGCATTCTATACCTCTGCTTCGTCGCCTATCCTATCGTTTTCACTGGTGTCCGGGGATGGTCCGCTGGTATATCCGGGCTTGCGTTTACCGGCCTGGCTGTAGGTAAGCTACTTTTCCGAGCCTCTCTTTCCTGATCTGGGCAGGGCATGGAGTTGCAAGACATGATCCGGGAATATTTGACTCTTGAAACCTGCTTTACGACTCAAAGACTTCCTTTACATGGAAATGCTGACTCCAAAATCTCGATAGGGTGTTTTCTAGTCATTGGTACAGAGCCACTGCTTCGAAGAATGATCAACTCTCACAAGAAAGACCCTGAGACTGGCAAAGTACCGCCTGAAGCCATGGTCAGTGTCGTCTGTATCGCTGCTGTTTTGGTTCCTGTCGGAGAATTGTGGTTTGCTTGGACCTGCGTGCCTCCGGTACATTGGATCTGGCCTATCTTGGCAGGTATACCTTTCGGCGCAGGAAATACCGCAGTCTTCATATACGCATCGAATTACCTTGCTCATAGTTATGGCAGTAAGCTACACCAATCGCATTTGAATAACTCAACGCTGATGGGATCTTTGCAGTCTACGCCGCCTCAGCGATGGCTGGGAACTCGGTCATTCGATCTCTCCTGGGTGGCACGTTACCGCTCGCGGGACCAGCACGTAAGGACACCCAAAAAAAAACCTCTCATCAGCACCATGCATTAATGCTTCGTGATAATGTCTGGTTCCGCAACGCTCTTGTGTCCCAACGGACTCTCAGATGTCTCGTTGTACCGGTTTTCAGTCCCCAAAGACAATACTGACATAAGAATTCTCTAGTGTACGCGAAACTGAATCCCCATTGGGCCGGAACTTTGTTGGGCCTGATCCAGGTAGCCATTATACCCATCCCTGTATATTTCTACAGATACGGACATAAGATTAGGATGAAGAGTGCTCTCATTCAGAGTATGCAGCAGGACAAAGAAAAGTTGGAGAGCAAGCGAAGGAGTGGCGTCCGCGCTGCCAAATTAGAGAAAGTGGAGGATGATATCGCGAAGGTTTATTCGAAAACCGTATAATGACTAAGCTTTACCTGGGTATAATAGGGAGCTGCAATCAAACCTTCCGCCCCGAAATGACTAAGAAATACATCTTTCGCTTCTAACTCACAACATCTTCCTCCCTCTTTTTCTTATCCTTCGCCATCGCCTCCCTCTCCTCCTCCTTTGTCAATCCCTCCGCGTGCCCCTTATCCCCTCTTAACCCCTTCAACCACTTCCTCAGCTTCCCAGATATCATCTTCTCCTCCCTGGCTGCTTGCAGGGCGTGGAATTTGGCATTTGGGTCTTCGCCGCGTGCAATGGCAACTTGTCGCTCTTTGTTCCAGTTGTCGAAATAGGCAGTATGATGATCGGCTCTAGGGGAGGAGTAGCTACCGCCGTCCTCCATGCCGTAGGAGTTGGGGTGAGCTTTGTCGGCCGGTGGGCCGAGGTCGATTCGAGCTGTGGGAAGGAGGCCCGATGGGGGGGTGCGTGTGGTTGAGGCGGTCATGGTGATATGTTTCGCGGGTAGTGAGCTGATGGTGTTTTAAATGGAGGACAAAGATTGTGTGATTTGAGGGTTGATTCAGGAGGTATAAGTGTATTTGTAACGGCGGAGTCTCTAGAATTGATGAAAGTACGTGGTTATACAAGAATCTAGAGATGCAATGCTAATGTGAGATCATCTGCTTTTCTTTTACTTGTCTATCTCGGAGTGTGTGGAAAAATGCCTCATATCGTCCAACAGTACTTATTGGCTAAAATAATTGTAGACAAATTTAGCATCAGATTTGTACAGCCTCAGAAAACGGCCATTCCGGTTGATCTTCCCAAGCTCGGCAAAACAATAGCACAGCTAACACCAGGTTCCACAATGAGATGTTTGAGAAGAGGGAGGTTACTGCAAACCAATCTTTAGGTGTGCACAATGTGATTGATGCTTAGACAATGGCAGCTCTTGTTGAAGCGGCCAGGCTCGCTAAAGTTATGCGGTTCCTGGTAAGATGCATGACGTAACAAACGCTAGATTAGAGTACACTAAGGTACCATGGATTTCGGCAAGCTACCCCAGGTTCTGAGCTCGGACCGATCCAACTGGAAGTTCTTCAGGTCCATCATTGCATTGTTTCCCTTCTCTGTTGTTGACACGCGAGGCCTGCTATCGTATATCAGGTAAGTTGATCATGCGCGTTAGATGCCTGTCATTACGGAAGAAGAAGCTTGGCGCTTGGCGGTACTGACTAGTCAGTATAGAAACAGCGCGACGCCATTTACTCGGTCAATCGCGCTCACCCAGACTCGCTTCGCCCAACCTAACTTCACCTTCAACATGGCCGGCACTAGGCGATCCACGCGACAAGCCGCGACGAAGCCCAATCCCAGCGAAGCATCTTCAAAGAGCAAGCCCGCAGCTGCCGCAGGCACCAAGCGCAAAGCGGAATCTGAAGCCCCTGCGAAAGGCAAGCGCGGAAAGAAGGGGGCCAAGAAGGAGCAGACGACCATTGAGGCGTCAATGCCCAGTGATGACAAGAATGGCGATTCCAAAGAGGATGTCGAGATGAAGGATGAACAGGAAGCCGAGCCAGCTGAGGCGAGTAATGGCAAGACAGGCGCTGATGAGGTCGCGCAAAGAGAGGAGGAAGTGAGGGATCAGGAGCCCATGGACGAGGAGAAGAAGGAAGAGCCTTCTGCTGAGAAAAAAGAGCCTGAGACTAATGGCGACGCAAAAGAAAACAGCGAAGAAGAGCCGAAGAAGAACGGCTTTGACGCTCTCATGGACCACACTGACAAAGACGAGGACAAGAATGTTACTGAAGAAGGCACTGGAAGTAAAGTCTCCAAAGCCGAAGATGCGGTTGAGGATTCCTCAAAGCGTGAAGAAGCCACACCATCAAGCATTCTCGAGAAAGGGATCATTTACTTCTTTTTCCGAGGTCGCGTTGGCATCAATGAGCCCACCGACGTCAATGACATCGCAAGAAGCTACATCGTTCTGCGCCCTGTGCCTCACGGCGCGAAACTTGGCGATGGTCCGATTGGTGATGCCGGAAATAATCGCATGCTGGCGCTGCCAAAGAAAGTTCTCCCTGTCAGCCCAAAGGATAGATTCATGACCTTCGTCGAAAAAGCGAACATCAGCATGGACGACATCAAGAGCCAGCTATCGTCTTCTGACTACGCTACCAAAACAGCTGGCGCCCGTCATACCCCTGCCGCAACTCCCATTGGCGAGGGTGTCTATGCTATCACCCAGACAGGTCGCGAAACTCACTTAGCCTACATCTTGACCATCCCCTCCGAGCTCGGCGAAATACAGCAGGGAGTGGGGCTCAGGCAGCGTGGCAGCTATATCACGAGCGCCAAGAATCCTCAGTCTTCTGGCCCAGCAAATGCGAACTTGCCACAAGGGGCCGAGTATCCCAAAGAGTACGTTTTGCGCAGCCGGTCACTGAAAAGTCATCTACTGACCTCTTGCAGAATTCTTGACGAGTTCCACGGCCGAGGCTGGATGCCACTCCAACCCAAACTTCTCAACTACGAAAATACGCAGTTCTTGCTCATTGGACACAACGACGACGCCTTGGAGAAAGCAGCCAAGCCTCAGGATGGGGAGGAGGAGAAGCCAGAGAAGGAGACGCCGCTGGAGGAGATGGAGACTTTGGAGCACGAGGATGAGATTCGCGTTGAGCATCTGAAGGGTGAGTAAAAAGTATGACCCTTAGAAAAGTGTTGCAAGCTAACGGTAGGAAGGTGATGATTCCGTCTTCACAGATTTGGGACTCAGCGCAAAGGAATATCCCAAGCTACAGACGACATGGTAATGGTAATGGGTATGGTTGTTCAATGATGGAGGGATTTGTGAATGGCTTCACGGAGTACATACGGAGGCAAAAAAGTATCAGCGATAGTATGAAAAGTGCTGTATATATCCCGTACCACGGCGGCGATCTCAATATAGCAAGAAGAATCAAAACAATTCAAGAGCAAACTATTTGAGATGCAATCGGTTTCATCAATGAGACATGAATCATAAGTCCTGTCCATTGCAAAATGCCAGAAAGTAGTGGGTGCCAGTTGGCACTTATGGCTTGGCGCTCGCCTCGACTTCGGAAGTTCACATCACGGTAATTGTTGAATAACAACACTACCTTCAAACAAACAAACATCCTCACTACTTCTCATAGTCACCAAGTGATAGTAAGCAAAGCTCTCAAGAACAGACAAAGCCATTTACAGATCCCCCAACAAATCCACCCTGCCGCCTCCTCTTTCCTGAAACAGCTTGCGAGCAACCGACTCGGCTCCTCGGTACCACAACCTACATTCGTCTACCTTGGGTCACCTCCTGCAGGTGAGAGCGCTTTGATTCACAGTGACGGACGTATCAATTCAGTTATTCACTCTCTGGTTCAAGGTGCCATATCTCCATGCGCACCGGACCTGCCCTTACCGCTTTACCCTCCCTGACTTGTTGACTTTCACGCTTTGACACCCAACTTCTCACGTGTCCACCACGAGTGCCTCCGCAGTCTTGAACATTGGCATCAAAAGTCTGCCCTCACCACAACATAACACATCACAGCCTGATTACAATGGCTTCAGCGCTGGTGGATCAAGCCGCCAAGATGAAAATCGGGTGAGTTACTTATTGGGAGCTTCAAAACAATAAGGCAACCTACTCATGCATGTTGTATAGTGACAGTACTTCGGCTAAGAGTGAGACTGAGAAGCCCAAGGCTCCTGGCAGAGACACTCGACCACAGACTGAGGTGCATGGCACCATGCTCTTCTCAGGATACCAGAGCTGATTGTTGGTTTAGGATGTCACGGCCACCAAGGGCCTTGAGTTCGAAGATTTCGTTCTCAAGCGAGACCTTCTCAAAGGAATCCACGCGGCAGGATTTGAAAAGCCTTCACCCATCCAAGAAGAAACCATACCCGTCGCCTTAACAGGGCGAGATATATTGGCAAGAGCAAAGAACGGCACAGGCAAGACTGCTGCGTTCATAATACCCACACTAGAGAAGATCGAGCCGGAAAAGCAGAAGACCCAGGCTTTGATCATCGTGCCCACAAGGGAGCTTGCTCTACAGACATCACAAGTTTGCAAAACCTTGGGCCAGCATCTGGGCATCAATGTCATGGTCACGACCGGTGGCACCGGTCTCAAAGACGACATCATTCGCCTGCACGAAACGGTTCACATTATTGTTGGCACTCCTGGCCGGATAGCAGATCTTGCGAGAAAGGAGGTCGTCAAACTTGACGAATGTACTACATTTGTCATGGACGAAGCCGACAAGCTTCTCTCCCCGGAATTTACGCCCACAATTGAACAACTGCTCGGTTTTCACCCTAAAGAGCGCCAAGTCATGCTTTTCAGCGCCACCTTCCCAATAATAGTCAAATCATTCAAAGTAAGTATGACCATCCAATGTCTACGCGGAATGCTTACAGTCTCCAGGATAAACATATGACTAACCCGTACGAAATCAACTTGATGGACGAGCTCACTCTGCGAGGTATAACGCAGTACTACTGCTTCGTAGAAGAGAAACAGAAAGTCCACTGTCTCAATACCCTCTTCTCCAAACTCCAGATCAATCAGTCCATCATTTTCTGCAACTCCACAAATCGAGTGGAGCTGCTTGCGAAGAAGATAACCGAACTTGGATACTCCTGCTTCTATTCTCACGCTAAGATGCTGCAACACAATCGTAACCGCGTGTTTCATGACTTCCGGAACGGTGTATGCCGCAATCTCGTTTGCTCTGATCTTCTTACCCGCGGTATCGACATTCAGGCTGTTAATGTAGTCATCAATTTTGATTTCCCAAAGAATGCGGAGACCTACCTCCATCGTATTGGTCGATCTGGACGTTTCGGACATTTGGGAGTGGCGATCAACCTGATCAATTGGGATGATCGCTTCAACCTCTACAAAATTGAGCAGGAGCTCGGTACCGAGATTGCAGCCATCCCACAATCCATTGACAAGAAGCTCTACGCTTACGATTCTCCCGAAAACATCCCTCGCC